CGGAGTTAATAAATATTTAGTTAGTGGACCTCATATAGATTGGAAGGGTCAGAACTTAAACTTAATGCTGTAGAATGTCACCCAAATAATACATATTAGATAATAGGCCCTAAAATTCACATTGATGCACAATAACTTTGACTTTATCATTTTAATTACTGTGAATTAATTTACATATATATGTGTAAACACACTAGTATATAAATACATAATTAGGAAATTCTAGTATATATGTGTATACACTGTTTGGGGTAAATTTAATTTCATTGATTTTTCTTAATTTTCTTAATCAAAATACTTGAAAAAACCTGGCTTTGGAAATTGGCATTATCTATAATTGATGCTTTTGAAGCTTTAGCCTGAAGCTTGATGATTGAAATACTGAGTGAACTCATACAGAAGTTGGCAAATATTGAATTTATATTCATTTTTTATTATTTCCAATTATACCAATTTCTTCACTCAAAACCTACAATTAATTCATATAACATACATTGTAACTCAATCAGCTGGAGCTAAAAGCTAAATACAATGACTACGTTGTGTCTTAATGAACCAAAGGAAACTTTGCAGTCCAAACCCAGCATCAAGACATAATTTATCATCCCTTTGCAAGGATTTGAATAACAGAACTTAATAAAAGTTGACAGGGCTGTTTGCATTCTTTCTCATCAGAGCATAGCAGAAAATTTACTGGTGAGTCTGTGATTTCTTACCACTTCTTCTATTCATGTCTGCTGTCTCACTGAAGACACACCTCATTTTCCCTGTGCTCTTCAACTCACATAGTTTCAACTTAAGAATTTTAAGAAATAAAATCTGGGTATGCTGGTGTGTGCCTGTAACCCCAGTGCTTGAGAAACTGAGGCAGGATTGCTGCATTTACACAATTGTCCTCGGTAGCAAAGTGAGTTTGAAATTAGCCTGAGATATATAACAAGATCTCATATAAATAAACGAATAAATAAATGATCTAGATAAATATGTTTTATTATTTCAATATATAATTATAGTTTGCATCCTGATTGTTTTATGTTTTGCCAGATGTATTATAACATTTTGGGGGATGCATAACCTCTTCCTCTCCTGTGATTTTTCTTGTAGTCTATCATTTCTTTTACTTATAGGAAATATACATGTTCATGAGAAAGAATAATTTAACAGAAGTTTATGTGTGTAATTCTTAAGCGGAAATGTTTCAGTTCATTTATTTAGTTACTGATTCTGCTGATTACAACAAAAGCCAGGGCTATGATCTAGGCGAACTTTCAGACAATGATCTCAAGTTTGCAATCCCCTAGAGAAAATCTTGGAGCAAGCAAATATGGTTTGTGAGTTCAATCTGAGGCTTTCTTACCAGTGCTTAAAGCCAGCTAAGTGGCTGTTTGCCTAAGTTCCCTGAAGGATTTGTATCCATTGCTAAGGCTCTTACAACATGCACTTTGAGAGTAAAAGTGTAGTTTCGTTATTTATACACTTCATTCAGTTTGTTATTTAATTCAGTATTTTTTCATGTAACCTTGTGTCCTTCTAAAGTGAAATCCGGACAGCATGGAAGGTGACGCAGGTGGCCTCTACTAGAGAGACTGTGCAGAGAGTGACCACTGTACTTCGACAGAGTGTCTTAGTTCGGGAGGCAGAGAAACCAGAAGCCCCAGCTAATTAGAAGATAAGAATCTGTCAGGCATACAGAGCCAGAAGTGAGCGGTGTGGCTTCTCTGGCCTCTGGCCCAGTTTTTCCAGTTGCTTCATCTCTGTGAAGCAATTACCTTAAAATGCATGTATTGTGAAGATAGTGGAGCAGAGAACACCTAGATGGCACAGAACCACTTGGGATGTCAGGGTAGCCTTCCCCAGGAGTAACTCTGCGCCACAGTCTGTAAGGTGAACCAGTTTTATTAATCTTGGCACAGTTCTCCATCTCAAAGATTAGTTCACCCTTGTTCACAGGTTACTAAGGTCAGGGGACTCTCCTAAACTGTCAGTGTTTGTAAAGTCTCCTGGGCCTCGGATCAGATACACATCCTTCTCTTTGTGGATCCTTTAAAGTTGGCTTATGGCCCTGTGGCTCCTACTTGTGGCGAGATTGTTACAATTCAAATACAACTCAAACCTTCTTTTCAACCAGCAAGATAAACTTGGAAGTCTGTTACTTGAATAAAGTACAGATAAAAGGGGAATGTTTACTGCTGTAAGTATCTACACCTTTAGAAAAATAAAAGAAAAAATTTCCAGTCACACAAACATAATAAAACTTAAGATTTACCAGGAGAGCAAATATTAAAGGATCAGCAAATAAGAGCATCTAAAAGGTATTTTCGTTGTGATTTAGAGTCATTTCCTTATATGCAAATGTCTGCAAAATAAAGGTTAAAGATATGAACATTACCAAGGCACGTTACCAGTATGGTCTTTCTTATGTACCTACATACCTTCAGTTATTCACAGTGTGAGCTAAGTGTCCCCAGACATGCCTTAGACACTCTTTGATATTCTCTAAAACTCTTTCTTCTGTGTTTTAATACTTTTGGAATGTTTTTCATCTAGTAACACTCTGAAAAATTCAGCAGTCCTACCTACATGTTAGCCATATTAATACCAACATATTAGTATTCAAAGATATATATGTGTATGTAGACATGTATATGTATAACATATAAATATATGTATGACTCTAAATACAGGGATATCATAATCAGAAATATTAATTATCCCTTAAGGGAGATACTAGACTTTTTACAATACATTGTCAAGAATATACACGCATAAATATACATGAAATAGCTTTTAGAATTGCCGTTAAATTGCTATATTAAAAAGCTGAAATTATAGAATGCAGTTTTATTTTTATACCTAATGTAGTATGTATTTGTGTGTCTGTATATGTGGGTCTGTGTCTATGTATGAGTGTGTGTCTCTGTACGTGTGTGTCCGCGTATCTGTGTGTCTGTCTGTGTCTGTTTCTTGCCTTTTTGTGTGTGCTTGTCAGTATCTGTGTATATGTGTGTGTGTGTGTGTGTGTGTGTGTGTGTGTGTGTGTGTGTAAAACTGTGCTATAATACGGTAAATTGCAGTTTGGACATATTCATTTTAAAACATTTTGTATCAAGTTGCTCAAAAGTATGAAGGGCTATAACTCCTGGGAAGATGTCCCACTTTTGTTTTGTCTCATGTACTTCTGATGTGCTAATTACAACACATGTATTTGTTTTCTCAGATCTAGCCAGGCCTTGTGTTCTAGCTCTGTAATCCTAGATGCTCCATAGGTTGAAGCAGGAGGCTCACAATGCGTAAGCTGCAATGTAAACTTACGGCCAACTGCGTCAAGTTAGGAAGATCTTATCTCAGAATGGAAAAGGGGGTTAAAGGCATAGCATGGTGGTAAAGCGTTTTGTTTGTCTTGCCTATGAAAGATACTATTATTACCAAAAAAATAATCTATATAATTTTTAAAAATATTATCTCATGTGTGCGTATGTATGTACTATATACATGCCTGTTTCCTGAAGAGGCCATAAGAGGGCATCAGCTCCCTCAGAACTGTATTTAAAGACAGTTGTGGGCCCTGATGTGGGTGCTGAGAAGCTAAGCTGGGTCGTCTGCGAGAGCGGTAAGTGCTCTTGACCATGGGGTAGTCTCTCCAACACCCAAGTGTTTTAACTAGTATTTTTGTACTCTGTTGACATTTAGTGCTCATGGATCTGAGTAAAACTCACCTTTTCGGCCTAAGGCATCCTACACCAGCCACAGTTGTTAGACACAACGTTTCTTGTGCTGCTTCATCGCCCTGGTCATATCCTCTGTGGGGAGGTCCTTTTAAGAATTTCTCATATCCAGTTTCGTCATCCAAGTTCTGATCCCAGGATTTCTTGCAACACTTTGTACGCTGTTTTAAAAAAAAACACTTGTTTTTAGTCATGTGTTTATGGGGGGGGTATGCATGTGTGTGCGGTGCTCTCAGAGTCTAAAAGATGGGCATAAGAGCCCCTAGATCATAAATGACAGGTAACCGTGAAAGCCCCAACTAGATTCTCTGCTAGGACAGTGTATGCTCTTAACCTCTGGGCCATAATTCCAGCCACTTTTGTTTGTTTCTTATTTGTTTCCCTTTCTCTAGTCTCATTTCAATTTTTTAATATTATGTCATTTTTATCTCCCTTGTAACAAAGTTACCAATGAACCACCCAAGCGACTGAAACAACTTTAAGCCCATTTCTATCTTTTAGGGTTAGATTAGACTAATAGAATTTTTTTAAAGTAACATTTCTTTTTTGTGTGTATGGCATTCTTGAACTTTCAGCTTTTCTTTCCATAGTAACTATTTGCTGGAGTCACCTCCTTTGTAAGTCAAATCGCCAACCCTGTGGCTTGCAATACACTTCTCTATATTCTGTATTGTAATTTCTGCATTATAACTCCATTCGCTGCCTGTGTGTTCTAATACAAACACATTTCAAGAGGCTTAAATGAGAGATGACAGTCCAAGCAAAATATCTTAGACAGGAAGGCATTTGCAATTATTTCATAAAACGATGCCAAAATATTGTCACATATAGTATCTCAGATGGCAAATTCAATAACGTCTCTTTGGAGAAACATATTTTTATAAAGTTCCTCTGTAAATCAGTCCAGGTGGCTTCCTTTTATTCAGACGGGATTATTTTCAAAATAATGGAAGGAGGGGAGAGAAAAGAGAAACCCAAACTGTTTCCCAGTAGCGATCTCCTCCAGAGTCATCTGGGAAGGGAGTTTTGCTTGGTCACAAGTGACTGGCCCCTGATTTTGAAAGGAGTGATTCATCCTTCTTTGAAACAAGAGATAAGTGGGGGAAAGAGCCGTTTAAAAATGACTTTACAACTGTTTCCTTTGGAGCTATGACTTCTTTAGCTGGAATGCGATCCAGAACAGTTTCCCTTTGAGTCTCGCATTTGCCTTGAGCGCTTTTCTGTCTCTCTTCCCCCACGCCCCCATCTCACTTCTTCCCTCCCTGTCTTCAACAGATTTACACTGACTGGGCCAACCACTACCTGGCGAAATCTGGCCACAAGCGGCTGATCAAGGATTTGCAGCAGGACATCGCGGACGGGGTCCTCCTGGCAGAGATCATCCAGATTATTGGTGAGACCTATCCTCTGACATCGCAGAGAGAGCTTCTGCTCCGCACACTTCTGCTACACCGTAGTTTGGCTTGAATGGACACAGAATTGTTTCATGTGTCCAGGAGTTTCGACTGTGGCTATCTCCGATTTAATCAAATGTGTTTACGCCAGACTGACAGAGGCATTCTGGCCATACTTTGAAATAGCTCGAACTGTGCCTGTACATAATATAGCAGTGTCAGAAATGAAAGCTTCATTAAGCCATATGCCTCCCATGTGTACATTTTGTTGACCGGAGTCACTCATATCCTGAGACTCCTTGAAACTGGATCCTGATCCAGCAGGGACAAATGTGAAAGGTTTCATGTCAGCAGTCATTTTGGCACATGCTGGAAAACCAGCAGCAACTTCCTTCTCATTCTATTTTGTTGTTGTTGTTGTTGTTGTTGCTTGGTTTGTGCACATGGAATTGTTGGCTGAGAACAAGTGTGCACTCCTGTCCATGGCTTGGGAGACTGAATAGGGGAAGCAGTGGAGTTTCTGCTTGGTGTTTTTATTTTTATTTTTTAAAGGTCTCCTTTTATGTGTGTGTTTCACTTCATTGCTTAAGCATGTTCTTTTTTTTCTCTCTCTTCTATTTTGTTTCTTGGATTTAGCAAATGAGAAAGTTGAAGATATCAATGGATGTCCTAGAAGCCAATCTCAGATGGTAAGAATCAGATTTATTCTCAATCTTAGTGTTTAGTACCACTTTCAAAGTTAACTGCATTTGCACAATTGCTTTACAATTTTTCTGCACGACTTCCTGCTTGTATAAGAAACCATGTGATCCCATTTTCCGCCCTCTATTGTGGAGTGTTCAGTGCCAGTGCAATAGTATCTTACAGTGAGGAATCTGAACTCCTGAGCAACATGTTTCTAGGTATTTGTTCTGATCCTGGACTTTTTTGTTCTTGTCTTTTCCTGTTGTTTGTTCTGGTGTTTTATAGTATGTAATTCTGTATGCTGGGCTGTCTATAAACTTTGTTTCTAATTTAAAGTCATACAGTTTTATTGAGCAACTATTTTAAGAACAGAGCTTACCATGTGCATTTTTCAAATACAAGCATAGTGTTTTACTTGTTCAGCACAAAGTTCAATGGGCTCTTACCACTATTGGAAACAGCTCTGAAGGCTTGCTGGGCATATATGCTGAACAATGTATGATTCTGAGATAAGATTCATGTTAGCTTCCAGAAAGCCCTCAGTCTGGAGGCCTTTTACCCTAGCCCTATCTTTCCCAGTGAGCAAAGTATAATATTTATAAATAAAACCATAGATCAATAAGCTGCTCAGATAAAAACAAGCAAACAATAAAAAAAACAAAACAAAACAAACAAAAAAAAACGTGCAGACAAAACAACTCTAATCACAAATTGACAGCTTAATTTTCTGGGAGGAACCTAATGAAGACTGCCTCTACTGACGACACACCGAGTTACCAACCTGGACAACAGCCCAAGTCTCCAAGCATGATTGCTTTAGAAAATTCTCATGTTAGTGTGGCACAGGCATTTTGAGGGTCTCAATGAATCCTTGTCATAGATTTGGTCAAATGAAAAACTCAAGAACTTCTTAAACCTGCTGACCTGCTTTACTTACTGCCAAAAAAAGTGAAATCCAATGTAATAAAAGATATTTATTTTTTCAAGAGTGATTAATTAGACTGTTTAAAACATGAGTGCCCACCCCTCCGAAAAAAAAAAAAAAGAAAAAAGAAACTATTAAAATGTCATGATCTACAGCTGTTGTGGAAAAAAAATACCATAAATGATAAGGCCTCTATAAAAGACATGAGCTTTGATGGTATTTCCTGATCTAATTACTCTCCACATAAATGGTACTCTGTGGAAATTAATTACATTTGCTTTGTAAGGTTTTACTGCTGGCATGATAAAAATAGGATAAATACAGACCCTGCTATGTTAGTAGTTGTGTGATGTTGGAAAAATGTGTAAACTCTCTGGGCTTTCTCAGTTGCAAAATAAATCCTAATTGAATGTTTTACACACACATATATATATGTATATTAAAATTAGTTTGTGTATATATACATGCTAATTAACATAGTATGCAAATATAGAGTAATTGTATTATGAATATTACAAGTAACACATGAACGGATTAGCACCTGGTAAAACACGAGAGCCTCTCTTGAGAAATTTGTTAGTGCCTGAGATGTAGGTGTAATAGTTCCTAATCCTAAGACTTGATTTTGTTTTCCTCTGTTAACCACAAGGAGGTGGTAGAAAACATAAAGTGTTTCAAGTCTAGAGCTTTCTGTCTGTTCTGCTATCCTAAGGATGGTGTAACCTAAGGGTCTGATGTACAGACATTCTCACGTAGTTGAAGACAGGGAAAAAAAGATCTCCACAGCTCAAAGTTGTGGAGAGGCAATCCCCTGAAACTGAAGTGAAGCATTTTGCACCTAGAATTTCTAAAAATCTGCAGAAGCATCTTAACATCAGACTTTGTTACTTTTTTAGAGTTTCTTGTTTGTTTTTAGCCCTGCCATGCAATTGCTTGTATACAATGCTAGCTCAATACCCTTGCTTCAGAAAACAGAAAGAAAAACAGAAAGAAACACAAAGACTGAAAAGTTATGATGTTATGAAAACTGTGACTCTCTACCTCTAAAGAGTGTTAGTTGGAGTCATATTACATTTTGAAGAAGGACCACTTGGATCATTTCTTTGTGATTGTTTGAACTTCAATTCTGAAGTTGGCACCAGCCCCTGAAGTTAATTGAGAAGAAAAGCTGTGAAACAAATGTAGTTTCTGGCTGGACTATTTTTGTCACTGTTCTTTAGAATGTTGATTGGCACTGTGTGATTAATGAGTACAAACCCCAGACTAGAGCAGAGGCTAGAAAGAGGAAAAGACAGACAGTTAGGGCAGCATGACTAGGCGTGTAGATCAGGCATCTGCTCCTGTCAGGATGCTGATAATTCTTACTGTGAAACCCAAGGCTCCACCTCAGAAATCAAGTGCCATCCTTCCTCACAGAATGACTTTCATCACATCTTATGTTATTTCATCATTTGTGATCAGTATCAGCAGCAACAAAAAAGACGACTTAGAACAAAACCTTCAAGTACTAGACTGCCTAGACCTACAGAATTTATGGCCATTGTAGAATCATGTTAAGCACTTAATACTAGAATTCTGGAGTGTGTTGATCTATTTGCCTAACAGTAGCCAATAGGCAGCTCAGTCTTCATGTGGACCTCCGAGTATGAGGAATAGGGGCTGTCTCTGACATAAACTGGGTTGCCTGCTCTTTGATCACTTCCCCTTGGCAGGGTGGCCTTGTCAGGCCACAGAGGAAGAGGATTCAGGAAGAGCTACCTACTGGCTACATCTGAGCAGGGGATTTAGGTCCTCTCCATGTATGGTCATTGACTGGTGCATCAGTCACTGCGGCCCTCCCCCACCCCAGGCCCAGATTGGTTGGCTTTACTGGTCTCTTTGTGAAGCTCCTTTCTCCTCCAGGTCCCTCTATACCCCCATTCTTCCATAAGCTTCCCAGAACTCTGCCTAAAGTTTGGCCTGAGTCTCAGCATCTGCTTTGATCCCCTGCTGGGTGGAAGCTTTCAGAAGACATTTATGGTAGGCTCAACTATGTTCATAGGAGCTTTCTTCATAATAGCCAGAATCTGGAAACCACCTTGATATCCCTCAACCAAAGAATGGATAAAGAAATTTTGGTACTGTATTAGGACTTGACATAGCCACGCATTAAAAGTCATCCAATTTGTCCCCCACTGGTGAGACATGATAGGGGTCAGATGGTAGGGGAGGAGTGCTTCCCCTCTCTGAGGACTAGGGGAGGGGGAGACTGGGAGGAGATGGGGTGGTGTGGAGGGGAGAGGCTACAATTGGGATGTAAAGTGAATCAATTAAAAAAATTTTTAAAAGACCTGATACAACTATTTTAAAATCACTGTAGGTGCTACCTGAGGAAAATAGAATCTACGTTAGATTTCAGGTGGATGTGGAAGACGGCCAGTTGGTTTTTGTTTTTCAGCTAAATAAGCAAGCTGGGGATACCCATAGAAGAAACAAGGTTAGAAAGTGCAAGGAATAATGACGTATTAATATTTTGATGTGCAGAGTTTTTGATGCCTGTTGGAACAGAAAGCAGGGAGTAATTTTAGGTTGTTACTTTGAGCTTCTGTCTGAGGAAGTTAGTGACTAGGCTGTGTCTTATAACACAGGTGATGGATACTAAAAAGGAAATCTTGGAGGAGGTCTGTGTAAATTCAGCAGTGAAAAGGTTTATGATGGAGAATATTAATATTTATGAGGCAGACGTCAGGAAAGGAAGAGTGGTGAGAGTGTGTGTACTCAGTGAGACAGCAGACCACAGGTGTATCTTGTTAATACTCAACAATAGTTTTCACAGTTTAAGCTATGGTGTTTACTTTAGCACAAACACTGAGTAAAATGAGTTCAATAGAATGTAGCAGATGCTATCAAATGCTCCTGAGCCTGGTTATGCTGGCATGAGTACATCAACTTTGGTAATCAGATGGGTGTTTCTAACCTATAGGAAAAGACTCTTCTATAGGGTCATAGTCTATTAAGAAGTAGCAACCAGTGTGATAGCCATTGGGCCACAATTCATTTTTATAGGGATCGTATCGAAGAGACAAAGAGACTGCTGGAGAAACAGGTGGGCAAAGGGGCTAGTTTTCTCTGTGGTGAGAGAAAGCAGAGAAGATGGTTAGCAGTAGGAACTGGAGAGAAGGCTCCAGTTTTGAGCACTTGCTGTTCTTGTACAGGACTTGGGATCCATAACCAAGAACCTACCGACAGCTCGCAATGCTCTATAACTCCAGTTCCTGGGATCTGACACCCTCTCTGGCCTCCTCAGGCCTCAGGAACACGTGGTGAATGGACATACATGCAGACAAGACACTCATACATATAAATAAGAATAAATATGTCTTTTTTTTAAAGGAAGGTAGCAATAAAGAGAGAAGCGGGCCCATAGTAACAAGAACACAAGTGATGGTGTGAAGTACAAAAGAAAGTGGTTCAGGAAGCAGTTTTGAAGTCCTTGTGAAAGACTGGCTGTTAGGGAAAAATGTTAAAAAACAAGCAAAAAAACATTTTCCTTTGTGTCATACCATAGATAAGTGTGAATTTATGAACTGTGGTATTGAAGTAGACTAAACAAAAACTTGAGGACTTTAGATCAATGATCAGAATTTTAGATAATGTTAATATACTGTTCTATCTTATTGCTTTTCTCATAATAAAGAAAAATCAATATATAGTATTTCATATGTTTTGAATTGTAAAATAGAAGCAAAATCAGATATGTATACATATATAAAATAATATAACAATGTAACTTTAGGTATCATGGTCCAGAAGGTGCATATTTAAGAAAAATATCTTATTCCCTATATCACTCTGGGTTTCTAAGAAATAGTTATGTTTTATCAGTGAATTTTAGGTTATTATCATCTTGAAATATAGACATAGTTTTTGTGAGATCTGTCCAAACACTATATTTAACATCATTTGATGGTGAAATTACTAATATGGATGACACCTGTTGAGTAGTTTCTAGTTAGGTATTAATAAGATCCAAATTGTATGTTCTGCATGGCATGTATTTGGTGAGCTTACATGAGGAAATAAACTAATAGACTATAAATA